AAGCCATGAGGTTCACTTTTGCCTCAGACCGACTTATTGCTGTTTTATGGTGTGGCTGAATCTGCGATCTGCTGCCACGCGGACTGGAATAACAAATGCTGCAGTAACCGGGGTTGTGGTCAGGTTCATGAGCTGGAGCGGACCCGACTTTAATACGTCATCCCAAAATAGAAGCTAATATCTTAATTTGACCTTGAATGAAAAATGTTATAAAACCTCTTAAAAGTTTTTATCACAGAGGAGGCAGCACTCATTTCTGTCTTCAGTTTGACAGCTCGCCAGAGTTTGCGCAGCGTGCACGCTTATTGAATCTGTGTGTGTGTGTGTGCGCGTAGGCAGCACAGCTCCATGAGCCGTGGTTCCGCTGGAACGCGTCTGACCTCTGACAGACGCACTCTGAACTTCATATCTTCAGGGCGCTGTTAATAGCCTGAATGGGAATCATTTCTTGATTTATTTAGTTACATCCACAATGTTCTGTGTGTGATGTTTACAATGTCAGAACACCTGCATGAGACAGGTGTTAATTACAATCTGCCAGAATGACTCACCTTCAGCTTCCTCCAACACCATTAAAAATGATCAAATACGGAACATATCGGCGTGCGTAGGCCAACGTGCTGAAGCTCGGCGCATTGTTATTATGAAGCTAGGGCACATGCGGAGGACACACACACATGCGCAAAAATATACTTGTTTTCAATTGCATTTATTGGGCCCACTTACTTTATCTTAGGCCCACCCACAAATGAGTTTCTGGCTACGCTAATGGTGACATCTGACAGACTTCTCTGAGCTCCGCAGCCATTACACTTTTCACCTCGCGCACCCCCTAGCGGCAGCTCGCGCACCCCCGGGGGTGCCCGCACCACACTTTGGGAATCCCTGCCCTAGCCCATACCTTAACCATTGGGGTCTATTCCTAACCCTAACCTAAACTAAAAGCCAAATCCCACCAAACCTCTAAAACCATGTGGGTGCTTAGCATTGTGTTGACCAGCAAAATGTCCCCACAATGTGGAAATCTCCATACCATACAGGTTAAAAGTCCAAATTTTACCACTTAAACATATAAAGACAAGTACACACACACACACACACACACACACACACACACACACACACACACACACCTATGACACAGCCCTTCTTTTCAATCCAGCCGTTTGTCTCTCTCTCTCTCCTTATGGGTGGAAGGTAGAGGAGCAGGAAACAAGAGGCAGGAAGAGAATATCAGATTGTTCCTGTTTTTCTGTTTCCCAGCTGTTGTGACTTGACGAAAGCAAGGATTAGGGGTGTGTATGTGTGTGTGTTCAGGTCTCATCCAGTTGAGTGAAAACCTTTCATAATGCTTTTTCAGTAGCTTGTGTTCAGATTTGTACTAAAACACAGTGTAGTCACTGATGTTGTCATACTAAAGCTTATCTCTGAGAGTTATCGTTCTTTCTTTAAGACCGGTGACTTTCTCACCACGCTGTGGATCATCGGCATTCCAGGTTGGAAAACTACAACACTTCTTCTCTCACAAGTTCAAAGTTAGAGATGCTGAAGATAATCTGCTGTAAATCAAATCAGGATGTAAACATTTAAAAATAGTTTTTGTGTGACGAAAGAAAATTGGTAAATAACATCAACTCAACTCGAGTGTGTCTGTAATTCAGCTTTTATAGCAACCAATAAAAACCAATAAAAGGCATTATTCCATTTTCTGTTTTAAAGGAGATTTCCTTTGCATCGTACTCATAAACGAGTGGATGAAGTGTACTTTCACACATTCTGAAAGCTTCCACGTCATACAGAGTCAAAGACCCAAAACAGCTGTTTGCTGTCATGGCAACCACATTAGGAAATAATCTGTCCATTTCTGCAGCATTTAGCTGCGAAAATCACACCAAGGCATGACCCGACTTCCTGGTAAAATTCACACATCTGATGAAATACGGTCAGGCAGGATATATGTGATTTAAAGTACTCATCAGACATTATTCACATCCAGATTCTTTACTGGTAAATAAATATGGTAACAATATTTTTCTATTGGCTAACCTTATAAAGCTTAAGCAGCCTAAACACTACTTATTGTCTAATGTTAATGTATCAACTTTACAATATTTTGTTTTATTTTGTACATTATTTATAAAAACATTATAAATAAAAACTAATTAAATTGGCTCTTGCCACCTGTATGCAGTGATATGTCATAAAAAGGGGAAATAAAATTACAAAAGTAACACTTTACAATAAGGGTTCCTTTATTAATGTTACTTAGTGCTATATTGAGCATTCATAAACTGTTCAATAAAGTATTAACAACTGCTTAATATTAATGTTGATTATCAGAATACATTTTTCAAAATAAAAATTCATATAAACTCACAGAAAAAAAGAGCTGAACGAGCCACCCAATTAAGTATAAAAAGGAGCCCATCAGTCTTACGAATGGTATCGAATACAACCTTTAGACCATCCTGAACTCCCGTCACCTAACTGTGGTTCAGTG